ATGCTAGGGAAACACTCTACTCACTGAGCCACATTCCTGGCCTCTCCCATCACCCCTCTATTCCCTCACACAGCATTTCCCCCACAGAGGCTGCAGAGGTGGTGAGAGCCGTCAGGATTTAGCACTTGAAATGCTCTCAACCCGCTGCAAGCCCTGATGACTCTTTGCATATTGCCCGAGCACTGAAGCACACATCTGGCCACTCCTAGCCCAGGGCCTTTGCACAGGCCATGCCCTCTGCCGGGTAGCCTTTTCCACATCCCCACCTCCTTCCCCTCATTTGAGAGTCTTCCAACCCTCCAAGTCTTCATTAACCCCAACCTCTCCTCTGGCCCCTATCACTTGGGGTATATCTGTTTCCCTTCACATCCCCTCCCCCAGCTTGAGGTCTTCGTCCCCTAGAGTGGGCTGGCTCTGGGCTTGCCACTGCAGCTGGATTGCTGAGCTCCTGGCAGCATCCCCCAGGGACTAGGGCTGTTTAAAGGGACTGATTTATCAACTGCTCAAGTGACACCCACCTCAGTCTGTCCCCTGCCATGGGCATCTGCTTGAGTGGGCGTGGGCCAGCCAGAGTGTGGAGAAGAGGCTGACCAAGCAGGATGGATACCTCCACTCCAGGGGGTCCTGTGCCTCTGTCCAGACAGGACCCTGGAGTGCTGAAGCCCCTGGAGGCCCTGTCTGGGATTGGGGCTTCTGCCTGCCTGAGCTAGGAGCCTTGGCCTCCTCTGTCTACTTTGCCCTGTGGTCTATGAGAAACCTCGCCCATCTCCGGGTCTGTAGGGTACTGCCTTAAGTCTCTCCTCAACTTAGATTCCTGCCTCTGCATCTTCCAAGGCTGCCAGCCCTGGCTCCAGCTGCGGCATCTGGTGGTGAGGTGGTGGCTATCCCCTGCCCAGCCCTGTCAAGATGGAAGCAGACCCAATAAGCCCATTTTCATTCTCTACTCAGGAAAGTTTCTCAGCTGGCCAAGTTCTTGGACTGATTTCCCTTCCAAGTCAGGGTAGTGGGGGCGGGGGCGGGGCGGGGCGGGGCTAATGGTGAGGCTCGGCTACGCTGTGCACATGGAGCTTGGCAGCGTCAAGACAGGTTCTCAGAACTCAGTACCACTCAGGACTTGGGCTCAGTACCACTCAGTGCTCAGTCCCCAGTAAATCCTAAACACTGGACGTCTTAGCTCCTTCCCGCAACCCTACCTCTCCGACAATACCACCCAAAGGTGCGAATGACTGACAGCCAAGCCCTGGGCCTTTTATTGAGGGACACTAGCTTTACCTGGAAGCTTCAGGGCACCGTAGAGAATGTCTGCCAGAAGAAAAAGGCCAAGAGGCCAAATCAGCCCTTACAGGCTGGAGTCTCACGGGAGACAGATGTCTAGGCGGGCTCTGGTCCCAGGCACCCAGCTCTCCCCAGATTTCTCTCTCTTGCAGCCCCCATGGCAGGGCTCTGAGAACCAGGCTGTTCCTGGTGGTTCCCATGGCAGCAGCCTGGGGGCTGAGGAGGCGGGGAGGGAGCAGGGCCGCTCTCTGCAGATGCTGCTTGGCATCCAGAGCAAGAGGGGTGGTGGCCCTGTCTGGAGCTGGGCACACTCCAAAAGCGAGCCTAGGGCGAGGGGCAGCTGAAGGTCCCTCTGCTCTGCATAGTGCTAAGAAGGAAGAAAATGGACCCGCCATGCCTAAGAGGGAAACTGGGCAGGGAGAGCCACCTCTGAGGGACCAAAGTCCACTCTAAGATCCCCCAGCCATGCCAGCAGTACCGGGACATGAATTCTTAGGAGCACCTGAGCCAACCCCAACACAAACAGCTTCAGAGGTGTCCCACGCAAGACATAGGGACCAAGACACCCCACCTGCGATGCATCTCTGCTGGGCTCAACTCCCCATCTCATGCACACCCAACTGACCCTGGTGCTAGCTCACAGCTTGGCCAATAGCAAGAGCCTCCTGGAGCTTCATGTGGGTCCCAACATCACCGGGCTTCTGAGGTCACCCCGTGGCCTGTTTTCATCTGTAAGACTGTTGTAGAGATGGCTCAGCGGTTAAGATCACTGGGTGCTCTTCCAGAGGACCCGGGTTCAATTCCCAGCACCCACATGGCAGCACCCACAACTGTCTGTAACTTCAGTTCCCTGGGATCTGACATCTTCACACCAATGCACATAAAATAAAGTTAAATAAAAAAAAAATTTTTTTAAAGTAAAAATGCCAAAAAGCAGTTAAGTCTATATAAAAAAAAAAAAAAAAAAAAAAAAAAAAAAAAAAAAAAAGACTGTTGTCCTGTGAAACTGGGGACTCCCCGAGGGCAGGTAGGGATCAAACATGTCCTTGCATGCCCAACACCTTGTTGTAGTGCAGACACAGACACGGTAAGAACTGAGGATGGGCAGGTCATGGGTGGATGTGACACTGACCAGCACTGGCCGGGTCTTAATAGCTGTGTGCATAGCATACCAATGGTAAACGGGGACACTTTCAGTTCTGAGCCTGTGCCACGTGCCCCGGTCTCAGAGTAATGACCCCATTTCACAGAGGAGCCCCGCAGGTGAGCAGTGCCACCACTCACAGTGACTAATTCACTCCCATTTTTTTTGGGCGGGGGGCGGTGTTTTGTTTTGTTTTTCGAGACAGTGTTTCTCTGTGTAGCTTTGTGCCTTTCCTGGAACTCACTTGGTAGCCCAGGCTGGCCTCGAACTCACAGAGATCCGCCTGCCTCTGCCTCCCAAGTGCTGGGATTAAAGGCGTGCGCCACCACCGCCCGGCTTCACTCCCATTTTATAGAAGTGGAAACTGAGGTTCATCTCCCTAAGACTATGGAAAGTGAACTTTGAAGAGCTGATTTTGGGTCCCAGGGGCTCCCACATGCAGAGCCCATGTCTCCATTGTAAGGCTGACCGGGCCACTTCCATGATGTATTCTACATTCCTGCTTTATAGCTGAGCTCTGCAGAGGACTGTTCTCATTCCACCCAGACAGCCCAACCAGCTGGCCAGGGATGCTGCAGCCAGGGTCTTCCTGCTCTGATTGACAGGCTGGACTGTTGTTCCCATTCCACCCAGACAGCCCAACCAGCTGGCCAGGGATGCTGCAGCCAGGGTCTTCCTGCTCTGATTGACAGACTGGACTGTTGTTCCCATGACCTCCTGGTGGGGACGGGGATTTCCATCCCAGGCCAGAAGTTTAGAGCCAGGTTTCTTCAACCCCAGAGTATGCTGAATCCTGGGCAATCCCAAGGTCAGATCTAAGGCAGACATCATGGAGGGAGTCTCTGGCTTCTGTGCTCTCATCCGGACTCCACCTGTACCAGGAATTAAGAACAAGTCCTGTACCCTCTCCCTTGAGTATTCTGCCTAATGAAAGGTTGATTGTTCCACCTGTATGTGTGGCTTGGCCAGAGGCCTCTGCAGCAGGACGGTATCCCCACCTACCTGTTTATTCCCTCTTCTACAAAAAGTGCTGCTTACAGAAAACATGCCCTGTGTGTGGTAGGTGGAGTGCCAGGACCACAGACCTCTCCGCCACAGCTTGCAGCCCCCAGGCTCTGCCCTCCGTGGCCTGCCAGCTGCAAGGATTTGAGTCTTTAATTTTTAAAATGTAATTTAAAATATGCAATCTGGAAATTAACTGCATCCAGATGCCAGGGCTTGGCCCCCCTCCTTCGTGGAGGGAGAAGGCAAAAGACCGAGGCTGTGGTGGGGCATCTGTGACTGCCCAGCCTCAGACAGTGGCAGGCGCCGTGTGCGGGTCCGTGTGACTCAGCTTCCTTGGGGTTTCCCAAGCGATAATAGAACCTTACCGCTGGAGGAATCACAGTGTGTCTGTGGAAGCAGAGCGGCTACGTCAGCAGCCATCAGCAGCCAGCCTGGCCTGGCCTGGCCTGGGATGGAAATCCCCGTCCCCACCAGGAAGTCAAGGGAATAATGGCCCCATCTATCAATTAGAGCAGGAAGACCCTGGCTGTAGCATCCCTGGCCGGCTGGTTGGGTTGGCTGGGTAGGAATGGGAACAGTCCTCTGCAGAGTTCATTCATAAAGCAGGAACGCAGAATACACCATGAAAGTGGCCTGGTCAGAGATGGGCTCTGCAGGTGGGAGACCCTGGGACCCAAATTCAGCTCTTCAAAATTCACTTTCCACAGCCTTAGGGAGATGAACCTCGGTTCTGCTTTGAAGTAGGAGTGACTACATGTCCTG